CCGAAAGTAGTGACAGAGTTCAATATCATTCCATTCCATTCCAAACTGGTAAAGAACACAACGGTCGGTAGGATATGGCACTATTTCCCAGAAGGGTGATCAGCCTGTGTAACACTTCGCGAACTCTTACGGCGTCCTTTGCGATGTTAGAAAGCGAATGAGATGCATTTTATTCACGCTCAAGAACTGTCCTGCATTTATCCCATAGATGTGCTTATACGATTCATATGAAAACCTCGAGGACTTCAAGATGTCGTAGGTGGATCGAAGCGCTCCGCAACGACGCCAAGGATAGTAGGATACGCCTGTCCTGCCGTCGGAGTCAATATCATCTGACCATTCTCCTTATCCCACTGCACATCATTGAACTTCGTCACAACATGTTTCGTCGTATTGCCGGTGCCTCCCCCCGCGCCCAAAGGTTCCCCAGTGGAAACGTGGAACCCAAAAACACTCATGTTCCCGCCGTTGGATTTGACCTCTTGGTAGATCTGGTCTACCTTGCCTCGGAGGCTGGACCCAAAGGTGACTTGTAGCTGGACATCGTACCCGACGAGGACGTTGACGACGCGGGATAGTGTTGGATTGAGGACGTCTGGGGCGCCCGGGAGACGATTGGGGAATAAGGTCTGGATACTGGGGATGTTCCTAGAGGGTCAACGTTACTGGCGCTAACAGCCTGAGTCACGGTAGAAATCTCACTCACCACTGGCCCGGCCGCGTATCGAACTTGCCCATCCCGATCATGGCAAGCGTAAGAGACACCTCATTCTCGTGGTTCTTGGTATCCAGCGTCATCGAATCCCACTTCCCGTCGGCACCACGCACATCCGCGTGGAAGAACGGCCAGAACCCAGCGTCGCCTTCACCACCGCTGATATTCGTATCGCTGAACCCGTAGTCTCCCCAAGTCGTCTTGTTCCCCTGCTTCATGTCGATCGTGATAGTCTGGTCGCGCGCAGCGCCGTTCCGCGCCGCGGTGATCCACCCTTGGACTGCGTTGCGGTAGTCGGGGATGCTGTATTCCGGCACGCGGATAACGTCGTCAGAGTCCGACGCGCCGCCCTTTGGGCTCGGGAACATCTTCCCGTGGTTCGCGTACTCGATCGAATTGGCGATTTCGTCCTCGTTTACGATGGCGCTTTGGTTGTACCTTACACAGGCGCATTAATTCCTTGTGAAATGTGATGTCACGAGGACGAGGAGACTCACCCCGGATAGGCATTCGAGCTTTGTGCGGCGGAAATGTTGTCCATATACATCGCCAGGGGCACCGCGTCCGGCCCAAAGCGCAGCGCTATCGCCGCATAGAGCTCGCTCTGTGTGTTTTGGCGGACAGTGTTTATCGAGCTCAGGAGGGGGTAGTTGTCTCCCGCCCATTCCCAAAAGGTCTGGTTCGGGAACAGTTCTTTGACTTGGTTGTATTTCGACAGGGCTTCGCTTAGGGTTGTCCAGTAGTTGTCGTTGGCACTGATGGCGGCCACCTGTGCATTGTCTAGACGGGAGATGGTGACGTCGGACGCGTCGATGTTCTGTGTCATGGCCAAATGTTTGGCGTCGAGTTGATTAGGTTGCATTCATCCTTACCGTTTTGACCCAGTCTGTCCAACTACGAGGGGTAAGTAAGAGAAGTCTGTAAAGGATGGTCATGTACCTGCGTAGCTGTTGAATATAGCTCCCCGCGGAGCCACCCGTGTAGCTGATGTTGTCAGAGTACTGCAGCGCATCGGCAAACTTGTAGATGAGGTAGTTTGTGATTTCGGGGCGAATGAGATCGCCAGCAGGGATCCCACGCTGAGTGACGGGGCTGGTCATGAGTTCGAAGTGATCAGCGAGGTCGATTTGGAAAGTGGTCTTGATGGCACTGGCATAGGCGCGTGCGAAGATGCTGTCTGTTTCTGCGAGGAAGCTGCTGGGCATGGCTACGATGGTGGAGTAGATGGTGGAGATGTTAGGACAGACCTAGACATGTCTTGTGGCTTATCTTCTTTCGAGCTCGGATCGATCTGTTGACAGGATCAATGTATAACAAAGGTACGGTTTGGCAGATCTGGGAAAAGCAAAGGATTGAGGGCCGAGGTATTCCTCGCCATCGATTGTTACGGTATGAAGGAGGTGGAAGAGGAAGCACACTAAGCAGGATTCGCAAGCTAAAATATTTGGCGTGGAAGAAAGCTCGGCTTGGCGAGGAAACGCACAGTGAAGGACAACTTGGTGCGCGAATCTCATCGAAGGTGTTTGTTGGCAAAAGATACCTTCCAATCGACTCGTGTTACTCCGGTACGGGGAATCGAACCCCGAGCTGCCGCGACGGTTGCTTATGAAAGGCGGCAATGTTAGCCGTTACACCATACCGGATGATGGCTGAGGGACAAATAAGAGTATATGATATATAATGATCAAACGAGGATCATGTAACACGTGGGATGGCAGCCCTTGTTCTCTTACCCTTGACGACAGACTTGGGTGGGTATCATACAGATCTTGGATCCTAGATTATCTTGGTTGTACCAGACCCTGTTGTTGCCACATTGCATGCACCCAGAGCAGCACGACCAAGACAGTGTGTTTCTCTCCTTTGCTAACGATTTGAACCCAGTACTGAGTGTTAGGTATACCCCCCTTGCTCGATGCCCCAACCAACATGACTTTTCGCTTCATGGCAGAACCACTTTCATTCGCACCTCCATCCACCCACGCACAACCTCCCCTTCTCATCGACATGCCCGCCACAGACGAATTCCACCCTCCAACAACCCGTTCTAAACACTCAAAAAAGCGCGAAGCGCCCTACATTCCTCGCCCACCAAACGCGTTTATTCTATTCAGAAGCAGTTTCATAAGAGACCAGTGGGTCTCGGGCAAGGTCGAGGCCAATCACAGCACCCTATCCAAGATCATAGGTATGTTGTCTATCCCTTCTGCTCTTTGTTGTCGTTTGGTCTGCCTGTCATGCCCATCAGACCACATTGTTGCCCCGTTTCTCACTAGTCTGCCCTGTCCCTGCTTCCATCTTGATTCCATCCACCCATCCCTGCTTCTGACGCGTCTCATGCTCTCCACGCGCGAACAATCTCGTTCTATTCATCATCCATCAATCCCTTGTCTGCAATGTACAATCAACTAACCCTGCTTAATAGGAATGTACTGGCGCACCCTCCCACAATCCGAACGCACCGCCTGGGAAGCCAAGGCCGCACAAGCCGAGCTCGAACATAGGCGCCGCTACCCAGATTGGCGCTTTAGGCACTCGGCCAACGCCATTGCTGCTGCCTCAGAGGCCACCAATGGCAGAGGCGCCAGAGGGAAGAATAGGAAAATGGGTATCAAGGGCGCAAAGGATCCACCTGATGTGGATGCTGTTGACAAGGGTGGCGGATCAGCCTCTGCGTCGGGGTCGGGGTCACGCTCGCATTCCAGTTCGAAACGCAACGCTCGTGGGCGTGCGAGACGTGCAGATGCACTAGAGTCCGAAGACGCCGAAGAAGTTGACGAGCTCAACTCGAATGAGGACGCAGAGGGCGAGGACGACTCGGAGTACGAGGACGCCCCGTCCAAGTCTAAATCAAAATCAAAATCAAAGGCGAAACCCCCGTCTCCGTCAAAAGCGAAGGGAAAAGCGCGCGCCGCCTCTTTGTCCACCCCCGCCCCAACGGCAACGACACGTGGGAGAGGCCGCGGCCGCGGGCGGAGCACGCGCCGGACGGACAACAACAATAACACATCTGCATCCACATCGACGCCCATGTCATTCACGGGCGCCGACGCGGGCGCACGCATCGCCAAGATCGCAGACTTGCTCGCAGAGGGGAAGCGGGGCCTCGAGCTCGAGGTCGCTGTGGCGGAGTGGGAGCGGGACGGGGGGAGGTCGCGGGATACTGACCACGCGCGTGAGGACGCAGACGCAGACACGGATGCTAATCCCATACCTAGTACGTCCACGTACAGACGTACCCGCCCCGTCGAGCCGCTCGTCATCACCATCGCGTCTCCAAACAATAACCACGCGCATGCATACAGCACACCGACCACGACCTCGCACAGCCCTGCGCTCAGCCAGAGCCTCGGCGCACGGCGGTCCCCCCGCTCGCCCCCGTCTACGCCCCCGCTTTCGCCAGTCAAGGAGGACAGTGCGGCGTCTTCGACACATGGGCTCAAGCGCTCGCTATCTGCGCCTGCGCCGGACCAGCGGCGCCCCGCCGGGGCGGGGCCCGTGGGGAGCCCGTCGTTGCCTACTACGCTAGGTGCGGGCGATGGGCAGGGTGGCTGGGCGCACGAGCGACACAACGCGTACACGGGGCCGGGGCCGGGGATGGGGAGCAAGCGCCATAGGGGGTCTGCATCTGTGTCTCTAACCTCTTCGTCCTCCTCGTCCCTGCTTCTCCCGTTTACGGCGTCCCCGACGGCGGAGGAGATGCCTGCCGCTGCCGTACCGACACCACCACCAGCAGCACCAACAGTACCAATGCCAATGCCAACGCCGATACCCCGCTGCGAAACGGCCTCACTCCCTCTCCCTCCCCCTCTCCCGCTATCCCAGTCTGACCCCCGCCTGCGTCCGCGCGCATACACGCACACGCAGGCCCACGCCCACGCCCACGCCCACGCCCACGCTCACGCACGTCAGCATGCATCGATAGGGCATTACCATTACGCCGGACAAAGACGACAGTCGTTAGCCGTGCCGCCGTCGTTCTACTACGGTTCCGGGTCTGGATACGCGCCATCCAACTCATCTGCTGCACCCCCGCCAGCGCCCATGCCGATGCCGATGCCGATGCCGATGCCGATGCCGATGTCGGCCCCTGCGCCTGTGACCGGGTTCTCGTCCACGGAGTCGTCGGGGGCGTATATGTCCTCCACTTCTTCTGCGGCGTATGGGGCGCCGCCGGGGGTTGCGGCGTACCCGGGGGACCTGAATTATTACTACGCTGCCCATTCGTCGTCGCAAGCGTACGCATCGTCGTGGTGGCCCCTGCACAGCTCTGGCGTCGTCAATGCGGAGCCGACACATGTTCAGGCGACGGAGGAAGGCTCGTTTGAGCATGTGTATGAGAATGATTATCCTTATGGCCAGGTCTGCGTATCGTCGTCCCTAACGGCAACGGCGGCTAGCACTTCTGGTCCTGGGGCTGGAGGCGGAGGTGGTGGTGGAGGTGGTGGAGGGTTGTATGAGGAGATGGGGAGGCGGTATCAAGCGGTGCGTCTCAGCCTCACTAATCCGTTCTAGAACCGAAAAGGTACTGACGATCGTGTCCGTGTCATGCAGGCGTTCCCATATGCGCTGGTACACCACGAAGATCGAGACGCGCACCACGACCACGACCACGACGTGGATGGGCAAGATACATTCTCGGATGACCATCAGGCGTGGTCGAGCTCCTCTGCCGCAGCGGGTGGGTACACCTTCCCCTCCTCCCCGCCGCCCACCGAGGGAAGCAGCAGCCCGTCGATCAGCACCGCTGCTATCACCACCTCTACGACCACCACCGGCAGCAGTGTACCTGCAGACGCGTTTTTCCGACCCGCACCACCGATGAGGATACCGGCGTCTACATTCTCGAGCTTGACTGGATGGGACGGGAGTGGGGATACAGGGGGTGTTGTCCATGGCGTTGGTGTGGATTCGGGTGCGAATGCCGCTGCTGCCGGTGCAAATGCAAGTGCAAGTGCGGGGATGAATGCGGTCCGTGGGGCCAGCGCTGCAGAGAAGGTGGATGGAGCAGGGGCAGGCGGCACGCCGTGGTATGGGCTGAGCAACCTTCAGAGCGTCGGTCTTGGTGGCGGTAGTGGTACCAGTACGAGTGCGGGTGCGGGTGGATTGACGTAGAGACCGACCGGTTCGCGGCACGATCCTCCTCCCGACTCTCACGACACGACACGACTCGACGCGGCTCGCTCCATGGCGCCCGGTGACCATGGTTCCCCGGCTCGAAACCCACCACTCTGCGTCTCTGCGTACATGTGCCCCACATTGTGGTTGTACTGTACTTCTCATCGTTTCTCACCGTCCAGGTCTCGGTGTATGCACAGATTCCGCGCGGCTCTGGGCTTATGCTTACATGGCCAGACTAGAATCTTTCCTCATCTTTCCTTCCTTCTTTCGATTTGGGGGTTCTTTCTTTGTTTGGATACTGGTATGACCCTGACGTTTTCTTTATTTACGCTGACGCTTCTCTCCTCTTCATGATCTTGGATACCTACCTCTCGCGATACTTCGGTCTTTCACTTCCTGCCCTCGAGTTCGTATATTTCTTGCATTCTCAGCATCTTTGTACAACTATCACATCACATCGCCTCCATCTTCGTTCTCGCTCTTACGAGCTATAGACCATTATCATTGCCTGTGTACCATGCTCACATCTTCCACCCAACCATCCACTTACTTTTGTATTATCTCCGATTTTCCATTTCTGGATCCTTCACCAGTGTACCATATACCATACTTTTGTTTTGCAACCCAGTATGTATCGCAGAAAAAATGAAATGAGTATTCTCTTTGCTGCTCCATATACTTATATATGTCTATCTATCATTCGGTCGTCAGTCCGGTATGGTGTAACGGCTAACATTGCCGCCTTTCACCTCCATGGTCGCGGCAGCTCGGGGTTCGATTCCCCGTACCGGAGATATTCGAAATCTGGAAATCATTTTTGCCTCTTCGAATGACTATGCATCAATATTGAACATTGAACACCGAACCACAATCTCAAGTATGTTATCCACAACATTGTGAATCGAGGCACTCTTCGATCAACGAACACAACATCGAAGGACGAAGAAAACGTGGGGTTCATGTAAGACGATCGCGATTTTCTTAGGAAACTTGTACGACAATGGGACAGGAAGGGAATATTGGCCACGAGGCAAGCCGATTGCTCGCATACAACTTTGTTGGGGCTTTCAGGTGCACGCTGTGACGAAATTCGAGCATTTTAAATCGATTCATTATTGAAGTGGGTAAGGCTCATCATATCCTGCCTATATTTCACCAGCAGCGATCGTAGTGATAGCCACGATGAATAACCAACTCGGAATGTCAGGCCTTTATCAATTGGTAGCACTCTGACTCTATAATCCTTTTACCATCAGGCAGCTTGGAAGGGTCCTTCGATTCAGTAGGGATGTAAGCATCGATCCGTTTAATAGTGGAACGACCTTTGCTAGAAAGGAAACGATTGAGATTATTCGCGGGTCTTATATTGCAGGAGAGAACCAAAAAAACTCTACCTAGATCGTCTTTCGGCCAACTCCTTCAAATTTTCAATGATTTTGAATTCTTGATGCATAGACCGATATATTCGACATTAGGGAGAAGGGAGCCATCCGCAATTTTACGTAGAGTTTCATCAGAGAAG